ATCAAATGTTTTCTGTCCACACCACGTCGGAGGAATTTAAAAACGCAACAATCACCGGTCATTTTCGATTTGTGTTTGAGGAAAACTCGGTCAGGGAAATCACAGGAGTATCGTGATGCCATCGTTTTCAAGAAGAAGCTCCTTTTTCAAAATGTTTTACGTCCACACTAAAATGAAAAGCCGGCATTTTCAAATTCCTCCGGTTTTAAGAGCGTTTTTGGAAAGCTCCGATTACAGGATGGATAAGTGTGGACGGTAGGCCTAACCGTAGAAATAAAGCTCCGATTTGAAATTCCTCCGGCGTAGTGTGAACGCCGCTTTAAAATCCTTGGTTGCCCAATTTAAGAAATAGAAAATGTCATTGAAGATTTCCGTGTTTCTTTCGTGTTTTATTGGAATTCTACTCGTATATCTCGTGTATATACTATATATATATGTATATATTTTTTAATTTTTACTTTAATTTATAGTATTCTGTTTAGTACAACTATTAATAACATTTATCATAACCAATATTTCCCGTTTAAGTCTTCTCCCAAATAAATACTTACAACAGTATTGCTAGTTGTTACCTTCATTTTCCTCTCCTCGAGTCTATTGCTGTTTTTCACATGACATTGTCATATTTTAAAATAGAAAAGTCACCTTATCTCTCCAAGGTTTTAGCTCCATCAAATGCAAGACCCTCAAAGAACTTAATACTTTACAAAGTTGTAGCTTAAAAGGGTACTTTCCAAGCTTTTGTGTTGTGTGAAATTAAAGTGGTAGCCCAAGCAAACTGACATTGTCATGCTTCAGGGGCTGCAATGATTTTACTTAAGAAAGCTATCTGTCTCATAGGTGAAACTTATCTTTAAAGTTCTTGCTAACTGAACGGTCCTTGCATGAAACAGATTATTTTAATCAATGTGTTCGAGCTCTAGAAAAAAATTAGTTTTTGTTTTATTAGCCTAACTCAATCACAGATGTTTATGTTACTTTCTAAGGGGCACCAACATGGCATAGCTTGAAAACCAGCGATACTGTATTTATAGTCTGCTGGCTCGACTACTAGGCCAGATATCAGTCAGTGTTACATACTTTTAGAGACCATGGCTCTTTGCTAGTCATGCAAGACATTAATTGTTCCAGGGTGGCAAAGGAGGGTTGTAAACATCCTGTTGCATCTAATCAAATTTCAGAAGTGATACAATCCTTCTTCCTTTCTTGTATTAAATTCATTGTTTTGTGAGTCCAAATCATACATAACTGCTTTCTCACTCTTATTTCCCTTTCTGTTGTAAAAAGAAAACTTCTTTTACTTTTTTATTTTAATCAATTAAATAAATAATTTTTTCAACTTGCGATTACACCGACCTAGGCCACTTCAGCAAATTCTTTGCAAATTGACCAATGGCATTCTAAAAGTTTTAAAATATTCAGTAATCAAAATGACCACAAATCTGTTGCCTTGTGTATATACTATATGCAAACGCTGCAATCTGGTAGGCTAAGCTATATCAAACACCATCAGCCCGGTCTATTATGAATCCGTGAATTTGATTGGCTCTTAAGCCATTTTCCATCCGCTGGTTGAAAACAGTCCCGATCACGCAGTGCACATCGCTCGCAATATCTAAAACCCTATCGGATATTTACTTGACATTTTTTTTTTTTTTATGTAAGAGACTATGGTAAAAATTTAAACTAGAAACAATTAGGCTACTCGCGCCCGATTTCTACGAGCAAATAATCAACGAGGCGTAGCGCTAGCTGAGATAACTATCTGCGCTAAGTAAGTGTTAAGTAAGTGCTAAGGGAGTACTAACAAAAGCTCATCAGCCCATCCCAGCTGTTCGACAAAATAGCCCATTTCCGAGTTGCCTTAAGCCTCTCTTTCGAAGCGATGCCTGGTGCACAACCATTCGTATGAAAATGAGTTTAATTTGCATTTGAATGAAATCTCATTTTCATATAATGGGCACCAAGGCTCGCTTCAAGAAAGAGTTTAACATAATAAAAGAGAAATGGCCTATTCTATTCCGGCTAAGTCTGCCGGTACTTGTTATCTATATTAAAGCTATTAAATCTCGTATGTCACTTGCAGAAAAAAATTCTTCAAATAACAGGCACCAAAGAGGAAAGTCCTTTACAATGGTACGAATAAGGAAAAAAGACTAAAAATTTCAGCACAATCAAAAGAAAATAATGTTAAACACACATTAGCAGGTGACCAAACAAGCGGTAATTAGTCAGTTTTTATAAAGGTCCGTCAATCGAGAAACTGCTATGATTTTGCTGACTTGATTGACATGGATTCCACGGCTAAAAGTGGTCATGTCATTGCAAATGATACATTAAAATGCAGTAAATGTACATTTGTTGTTCTTTCGGCAATTCCAATCCAGCGAGATCCGGAAAACACAAAGCATACGTTTGACAATTTAAATTTAGCCCCAGATCCTTTCGTTTAGCTGAAAGGTTATTCAACATCATCTTCAAAAAAAAAAATTTCCCAATACTAACCGAAGGTATAAAATAGTATTTTGTCACAAAATTATTAGCAAGTGGTTAGAAAACCGCCGTTAAACTTAATAAGAGGAGAGAAAGTAATAAACGTGCTTTGGTGACGCTTCGTGAACCAGCCCGTTTCCCGCGGGTGCGTTCTGATAAAGGCTTTTATTAAACGATGACTCTGCTTATTTCGATAGAAAGCGAATTTAATTAGTGTACATTGTTGTATGATATTGGGGAAAAAAAAAATTAAAAACAACAGCAACAACGCTGACCGGCGTTCATCCCGATATTAGAGAGGTTAAGCATGACGTTTACGGCAAACGGCAAACGGCAAAAATGAAACTTTTGCCGTCTCTCTTCAGCTGTGTGTACAGTAGACTGAAGTTGTTTGTATTTGCAATGAATAGCAAGAGACGTTATTCCATTTATGTGTGCTTTATTTACGGATTAGAAGAAAAGAACTCAAAATCAGAAGTTATCTTTGCCGTTTGCCGTCTGCCGTTAACGTCATGCTTAACCTCTCTAACTTCTCTTGACTTCAAGTGACTCAACGGTTAATCGTAAGCTGGAAATTGAAAGCGGTTACGTTAGAGTGGATTGTATGTGAATATTTCGACGTGTTTATTTTTGTTCTGACTGGCGGCGTCCACAAAGACGAGAAAAGACTAAAGAAACCTGCATGGCCGTTCTGTCGGAGGTCATTATTTATGTTGATTAAATCAATATTTTTCATGGGGCAAATGAACATCTGACCGATTTGTTTGTAGTTGCCAAAAATGGAGTTTATTGCCTGATATACGCCTATGATTTCATTTCCGGTTGTCAGTTCGTAACCACTGAACTGAAAACACGAACATTTCCGCGTTGCCTTGTACAGCACGGCTTGCTCCAGATCCAATACGTTTCACTTTGCAGGCTCTCAATTTTAACGCAGTTTGGAAAGAGAATAAGTATTAAAGAACTACCGGTATATATTTGTGATAAATCTGTTTCTGATCGTTTCTGATAAATCTACTGTAAGTACGCACGTCACTACATCGGTCACTCCCCCGACCCTCCCCCACTACAGGCACTAATATGCTCCACCCCACTTGAGAAACCTTTTCAACACACAAAACGCTGTTCTATGTGTTTGTTTTTTTATTTCAAGCACGATCTCGTATTTAATTCATCATCCCTGTTCTTCCTCGATCTCGGAGTTTACTCATTATGTGTTAAAACAAGATGACTCGTTTGCTTTTCACAAAGTTTGTGGTTTTCAAGCTCACGTATTTATACGTAATCTTGGCGGCTGACACTCTAGTATCAGGATCAGGTAAGCTTAATCTTCAGCTTAAGTTGTATCATATTTAAGCAAACAACACTTTGCCTTCAACTTATAGCCCTTCCTAAATTTCCAAACGTAACGCAACGGTAGATAGAAGTAAATGGAACCCTTAAAAGATATTATAAAGTAGTTTGAAAGCAGTACGGTCGTACGCAAGCTTCGCTTTCGCTTAGTCACTGAATCTTTAGAAATTAGCTACATTACCCGCATGTAAGCATAGCTGATAAGTGTATCCCCCTGCCAAATTAGTTAATAGAATGTACTAGAATGTGCCTTTTCACTGTGCTGTATTTTTCACATCAAACTGTGTTTTCCAAATTGAAATATTTTTTAGGCTATATTGCTCCCTTCCATTGTTAGAGGAATACTCAAGCTTACTGATCGAGTTAAGATATGATAAATTAAAGTTTAAATCAAAGTAGGTGACCTCATATGAGCAAAAGATAAAAAATCAATTGCCGTTTGAATTCCCAAGATTAACTGACCATAAGTGTTGCTGACATTAATAACGAATTATAGGTGATACTTTGAGAAATGGAATAAGGAGAATTGTCTAGACTTGTTATGAATCAAGGCCGGGGTGATGAATGGTTTCAGTAGTTTACGAGTCATAATAAATCCATGAGTCAATGGGTCTTTTCGTTATTGTATAGTGTGATCGTCTTACATGAGTTTTGCAGCCAATACCATCGTGGCTAAACTGACCAATCAGTTTCAATGGAACAGACTTGTAACACCATCGACTGACAGACATGTTTCATTAAACTCTCTAAAATCAAAAAGTCAGATGGCAACGAGAGTTCTTTTCGGAAGTACCCTCACCCAGACGATTGCACTAACTGATACACCTGGGTTCAAACCATTTACTATCATGTATTATTGAGGGCAAACCATAAAGACTGGTTTTCACAAACAATGGAGTCGTAGTCGGAATCGTAGTTGGAGTTGTGTTAAGAGAGCTTATGACCTAATGAAAATCGAAAATCGGAAATTGGAGGTGCAAATGGAGTCATAAGCTGGACGGAATCAGAGTCGAAAGAATTAGAACATTTCCATTTCTTCCAATTCTGATTATGACTCTGTTACTTATGACCCAGTGAAAACTAGATTGTTGAAGTTGGAAGCAGAAGCAGAAGAACAAACCAATCACAAGGCCCGGAATCAAACGTTGTGATTGGTTTATTCTTCTGATTCTGCCAGTTTTAAATTTGCCTGTACCCATTTATACACCTGGCTGGAGAGGGGAACTGTGAGTCAGAGTAAAGAGTCCTGCCCAAGAACACAACACAATGTCCCCGGCCAGGACTCAAACCCAGACCATTTGATCTGGGGTTGAGTGCACTTTAAACCATGAGGTCACCACACCTTTCTACCTTAAGTTAGTTGTTAGTAATCATGATCATGATTTCTCAGAACTGGATATTCTCTGGTGCACCATGGTTATTTAGAAAACAGTACTGAGAAAATACGCACGCTGATTGGTTAAAAATTGTGTTTCTATAACTCAATGTAAACACAGAACTAGCACAAACTTTCAGCGTAATGATGGTGCAAGCAAAGAGAATTTACATTTTGATAATCAAAGTTAACAAGTTGTTTTCCTTTTTTTCGTCACGGTGTTTTCTAAAAGAAATAGAAAGCATGTTCTCCGTGTTTCTAACGAGTTATAGAAACACTCGTAAAAGTTTGGGAGAACTCGAAAAAGCTGTACATGTGGAAATACTCACCTGCGGCTTGTGTTCGCACAGCATTTCTCTTTCTCCTAAATTTCCACTCATGTTTCTATAACTCGATAGAAACACAGTACATGTTTTCTATTTCTTAAATAAAGTCCATCCAAGTTGCCTTGTGGCCAAGGCATGGTGTCCTGATGGTTAGTGCATTCTTCTCTGGATCAAGAGAACTGTTAGGTTTCATTGCATGCTTATAACAACCAGAGTCATTGTCTCGAAATACAGTTCACCTCACAGTGAATACAGTTCACCTCACAGTGAATCTTTCCATCCAGCAGTGTAAACGGGAGCCAGATGAGTGAACTGTTGTAGGTTCTGGTTCTGGTTTATCTCACAAATAAATTGTAGACTGCAGAATCTTGTTTTGTGGGCATTGCTCAAATAAATTTTCATTCTGAAGAGCTACTAAATTACAATAAAGATAAAAACCTGACACTGACTATTTTTGGCTCATAATGTATGCTTCAAGGTAGTGGGATTTCTCCCTTAACTTAACTATGACTTCAATACTATTTAAAAAGTATTGGACCATTATTAAATTATATGCTCTTACTAACCCAGTGCAAGGGCCTTACCGGAGAATATTGGCCCATGCCAAGATCGTGGCAGTATGGGCCAAGTGCAGTGATGTCGGTATAGAAATTAACAACGGAGGGACAATATTCTCCAGTACAGCTCAAGCAAGCTAGGTTAGTAAGTTGTTTTGATTATATAGCACTTGGGCCATGCTTGCTTTGAATTTGCTGGCTTTTGAAAACAAAAAAATATCGAGCTTGTGGCTGTTTCCACAAAATGGTAAATATGGCAAAATCCTGAACAAGAAAGAACCACGAGAATGTTTGGATTTACCACAAGACTTAAACTACAGCTGCTTCAACTTCTATTTTGTCATTACCAGTGTATGTTCCAGATGCAATATATTTTACTACTATCATCATGTTATTTCTTAAGAACACTTTTACTCCACTTTCTTAATCCAGTAATCCTATATATTTATTTTGTTACAGGTTGTTCAAATGATCTTGGAATGGAGAGTAGAAAAATAAAAAAGTCCCAGCTTAGCTCCAATACAAATGACAAAGGTTGGGATGCTGACGAAGGCAGACTACGCAATTCAAAGGCGTGGTGTAGTAAGAATGAAGATCCTGCATCTGAGTACTTTCAGATCGACTTGTTAAGGGTCAGACATGTCTCAGCCATTGCTACTCAAGGGGTGGAACATTGGAAAATTGATTATTATGTTAAGACATACATGATAAAGTACAGTTATGATGGTTCAACCTGGTTCTACTATGAATCAGAAAATGGTGCTGATGTGGTAAGTGATAGCGTATCATTGGAATATTTTAATTGCCAACATTTCACTGCTTTACTTGTTCCCTTTATGCTGTTGTTCTGATCCAACTTGTCAAGTTGTCATCTTGATTCTGGCAGGTGATTGACTGTGACTCAGTTCTCTTGTAAGTCGTGTTAATTGAGTCAGTGCTATTATCTAGTGCTCTTTTCAGGTTTTCCTTCCCCTTTAAGGTTTTGAAGACACAGTTTATTCATTCTCGTAAATGTATCTGCCGAGGCCATGAGGCTCATCTACCCAGAGCTGATTGCTTTATTTACAGTGTTTAAGGTGCTACCCACTTGCCATCCTACTGCCGGAATCAGTAACAAATTATGACCCTACAATGTGAATACTTCTGAATGGGAACTGACAAACAGAGGCTGTGCTAAGATAAGTTCAGCTCATCTGAGGGCCTTTTTCTTAGATCAGGAGCTCAACCCCAACCTAATCAGGAATCAATGTGATTGAATTGGGAGGGGCAATTGTTTTGGTGTTGTAATTCATAAATTGAGGAGTATTCTATACATTTGAGGAAATTTTGTGTATATAATTCAATATTATAGATATTTTGCTTAAAACGTACCACATGTTTACTAATAGGTTTAATTATTTATTGCTGAAGGTATGTCTCTTTTTTCGCTTTGTAAATTTATACATTCAGACATTTACTGGAAACCGCGATACTGACACTGTAAAAAAGAACCTCTTTAGAGATACGTTTGTAGCAAGGTACCTCAGAATATGCCCCAAGACATACCACAGGGATATGTGCCTCCGAGTTGAGGTGTATGGATGCAGTGATCAAGACGGTCAGTAGCAGAATCAACT